CTGCACCTCCCAGATCTGGAGGTGAAAGTATGGGAACTCCTGCCATTGCAGTCTGTAGTTTATCTTCCAGAACTAAATAAGGGTTATAACATCTGTTCTTTTATCCTCCCCCTCCTACCTCATAACACAGAAGGGAAACTGAGAGAAAAGACTTTTATTTTCTTTTTCCCCCATTTGTGCTCTTTCACAGAACCACAAGGAGATTGAGACTGGCTGCAAGAGGATGCAATATCTGGGAACAGGAAATCTACTGGATCTGATTTTCACCTCAGCTAGGCTGAAAGAGGAATCCAGGAATCCAGATGGAAGTGATCAGATATCTCTCATACTAAGGAAGAATAGAAAGATACTGGCATCACTGGAGCATATTTCTAGAGTTCATCTCCTTACAACTAATTAATTAAAGTAAGAATTAGATATCCTTATGATCACTATTTTCAGCATGCAATTTATAATATGACAAATATCTAGAAAACTGAAACTTTGACTTTTACAGAACATTGAAGACAGCAACATGCTATATTATATGGTAATATGGTATTTTATTGGTATTATAATAATTATAATTTGGTATTTTACCATATATGGTAATTTCCTGCAGCACCTGGGCACAGAGGAATTCCTTTTGGTTCATAGATGAGCAGTGGACTTTGTCTCCTTTCAGGATATCTCCAGATGCTATTATGGGATGATGACTCCAGCTTGCCCTGCTCAAGCTTTCTGGGGTAAGATTCACAACACAGTGAGATAAACAAGCAACTCTGAAGTGTGATCAACAGAGGGACAGTGTGTGCTCCAAAGTGCCTCAGTGAAACAGTTTCCAAATTCAGATTTATCAAGGGAAGCAGTCTTACAGGATCCAGATGCGGGATATTCTTGGACTCTGTACAACTCTGCTACTGTGCCTTGGGAAAGGCAGAGATATTTCATGCTCACATGTGTATTTAACATGAATTTAATTTGTATTGTTCTGTAGAAAGTATTTCATTTCCATTTAATGACAAGATGACACACCAGTTTTCCTCTATTTCTGAACAATGTTTTTCAAGTGTACTGAACATTCACAGATTTGAAAAACAGAATCTCAACATCTATTTAGCACATTGTATAATTTTAAGTCTCTTGAGATAAAATTTTGTCAGTGAATTGTTATTTCCATTCTGGTGCATCTGAAGATCCTGAAGTATGAAGTTTTATAGCACTATTTTTGATTTGTTCTAAATGAAATAATTAAAATAATGGAATTACTGCAATTTCAGCTAAAGAAAGGACTTTTTATATGAGCATGCCTTTTCAACCAGATGATCCTATTTCACTACAGTTTCTCTGTGAACTCGTAGCATGTATTTAATACATCAACTTCATTGCTATAATACACTGATATGACTCATAAACCCAGGAGAAGTTCTGAAGTTGACATCATAAGGAAAATCCACCTCTAGACAAGATTTAGAATGTAAGTATCATTATGCATGGAATACTAAATGAGAAGTTTCACAAAATTATTTTTATGTATATTACTTGAACGTCAAATGTCATGAATCCCATTGTAGTTTTGTGTTAAAAATTCCACAAAAACTGTACAAAAACGTGCTGCATAGTTCATAGAAAATCTTGTGTGCAGATAAAGGATTTCTTAGATTACAGCTACAAATAACACAATTGGGGGTTTAAAATTATAAATTAAATATTTTTCTATTACTTAAGCCTAATTTCTACTTTCACCACTGTGAAACGAAGTTCAAATTTTTTTATCAACTGATTTTAATCCATTCTTGTATGAACAGACCCAGGATTCAATATCATTTTCACAGACTGTGCCTGAGGAAAACTTTCAACACCTTTATGATGCTATTCAGAATTCACTTCAGTCCTGTACATGGTAGCCAAGAAAGAAAGTTTGAATAATGAAAAAAGGGAATTTGTGAATTTAAAACTTAATATAAGTTGTGATCATTTATTGTGTATGCTTTTGCAGCCTTAGAATTCAGCCCATATTTCTTACATCACAATTTTTAATTGAGTTATGTGTTGGAGATAGCTAGCTATTAGAGGAGGGAAATTGGGTGAGTATCAAGCTAGTAGTGCAGTATCAGTATGAAGCCAGTGTCAAGAAAACCATTCTAACTACACACAAGATTAAAAAAAAAAAAAAAAAAAAAGGCAGAATCTGGCCTACAGATTTTCAGTCAGGGAAAAAAAGAACCAAAACCAAAACAACAGAACAGAGCAAAAGGCAACATTAGAATCTTTGATTTTGTTGTTTCAGTTAACCATTTAGTCTGATGGTGTTTGAATTGTAACATATTGAGTTGAATGAAGTTTCCAAATGCCTTTTTTTTTCCCCTCCTCTCAGAGATTTCAGTTCCAAAACTGAGGGTTATGGTCCATTTAGCTTGAGTATTTTGAGATTTAGTTGTAATGCTTTTCTTCTCTGTTTTTTGCTCACGAAAGATCCAACACTCAGCTGAACAAGATAGAGCACGGGCTGTGCCATCCTAAAAAATACAATGAAGGATTAGAAAACACAACACAGAAGCAGAGGAAAAAGAAAAATCAAATTCACTGAATGTCAAGTTCTGAGTCAATTTCACAAAGATTTCACATACAGGAAGCCAGATTTAAAAAAAAAAAAAAAAAATCTGTAATATACTCCTCAATGTATCTGCATTGCTTTGGTGTAACTGTGAATGCATCCACAGATGATTTTGGGAAGAAGTATAGACAGTAAGTCATTTTTAGCTCAACTTATCAGGAAGACACAGCATATAAAATGATTTCATCGGGAAGAAAAATACACACTTAAAAAAACACACTCTGTCATTTAATTGCATTACAGACTCAGCAATGTAATAATAAATTCTTTGTGTGCTTAATATATTTGTGTAATTTTAAATATCCTTACACAAACACACACCCTCTACTCATAGTGGGTTGTACAATGTAGTAGTATTTCTGCATAAATGCAGGTGAAGATGAAAATAAGTGGCCTAAAACTACATGCAGGACATGGATATATCATTACTGTTTATGCCCTTCTCCTGTCATCTTGCTCATTGTGTAAGATCCTGTGTCTTTATGAACAGACATTCAAAGTCTCAATACAAATCACTTAATAATCTGCGGGCTGAAATTTTTCTTTTTGGCATAGTGGTCTTGTATTGAAATGCCTCCATTTAATGGCAGGAAATCGTAGAGGGCTGACCAGGTTGTAGGCTTCCTAGCTTTGCTTTAATCTCTGTTACTATATATATGCCACAGGAAAACTAGTTTTATCTATGAAAACTTACAAAGAAGATACAAAATGCCTGTATGGGAGTATTTTTTTTTAAATAGTCTTTTCGACAGAATAGATGTAAACTCACTGCTTGCACAGCTCTCCTTTCTGAGTGCACATGTATGAGGATGGGAATGAGAGACGAGAGGATGAGGGAATCAAGAGCACACACTTTGCCTACACCCATTGTGGTATGCAGCGTACAAAAAGAACATTCTGAATGAAAGGCAAAAAAGTGCCATAGCCTAAGCAGCAAGTGGAAATTCTTCAGCAAACAGACGAAAACAGACGGTGCACTCCATTCTCAGAAGTGAAGAGGAGAGCACAGAGAAGTGCTCACAGCCCAGAGAATGTGGTGGCTGCTTATCTGACAGTGCTGAGTGTAAATGTTACAGATACATGAAATTTTGCTTTATCCACCTAAAGATTCCCAACGCAACCCCTTACTATTTATATTACCCTTCACAATTTACATTTCCATCTGTGCCGTATTTTCTGTACCAGCATCCCTGTTTGTGCAAGGACTGTTTTGGATTCTCACATCATCTCGCTATCGAATTGCAATGACACCCCCTGCACTTTGCCAGCCTCCACGACAATAACCAGTTACCCCTTTCACACGGCAGCTCCCTCCACTCTTAAGGACGCGGCAGAGCAGTGCGGATCCCTTTCCGCACCGCGCGGCCGCACGCCCGCCAGGTGCGCCCTGCCCCAGGTGCAGGCTGCGGGGAGCGGCCCAGCCCCGAACGGCCCCGGCAGCGGTCCGGCGGAGCGCAGCGCTCGGCCGATGGCCCGCAGAAGCGATGCGCCGCGGCCCCGCGTAGGGAGTGTAGAGTTGTGGCGTCGGTCCCCTCTCACTGAAGGAGCAGAAGGGCAGGGGCACAGCACATCCTCGGGAAAAACACTTCGGACGCAGAGAGTGAGAGCTGACGGGAGGAATTTGGAAGTTTCTCTGCTTTTGCTTTTTTTTTTTTTTTTTTTTTTTTTTTTTCCCCTTCTTCCTCCTATTTAAATTGCCTCTTTGTTAGCGCATTGCTTTCGCTCCGGGTTACACCCGACGAGCGGAAAATAAGAAAAGCAGCCGCCCCTCTCCCCCAAGTGAATACCGATGTACTATTGATCAGTTCATAGCGATTGCAGGAAAGCATAGATAGCGGAGTAAGGAGAAACAGAGTCACACGGGCGGGAGCCACAGCGATGGCAGTGCTGAAGAAGTTGACTTTTGGCAGAGCGCTGACTCAGGTGCGCCTCGCACCGAAGTTCCGCTGCAGGCAGCAGCACCCGGGGCCGCGACACACCGGGAACCCCTTCGCTCCACGTCCCGGCACATGCATGGAGCCGCTGGGACTGACCGGCTGCCCCTCTCTACTCGTAGGGCCGAGCGCGCGGGGCAGGCACACGAAGCAGACAGAGTCCGCGAAACGACTCCGCACACCGACCCCGCTCAAACCCATCACTACCGCCGCCCCCACGCTCATCCCGCGGGCAGCCCAGCACCGCCGGCAACCCGATACCGCTGCCCGCTCATTGGTGAAGCGCACCGACCCCGCCCCTCCACCCCCAGCCACTCAATCGGCGGGTCGGCCCGCCGGGCCGCGGAAAGTCGCCACTGGTTGGTCGAAAAGAGCTGTCAGTCATATTGAGGGACGGGCCGCCGCGGCGCAGAGGTCCCGCCCCCCCGCCCTCATTGATATTATCGTAGCGCGGCGCGGGCGGCCGGGCTGCAGTCGGGGCTCGCGGGCGGGCAGCCCGGTGCGGGAGCCGGAGCTGAGCAGCAGCACGGTGGCGGAGGCGGGAGAAGGAGCAGGAGGAGGAGAAAGAGAAAGGCAGCTGGGAGGGAGGGAGCGCCGGGCCGGGGACTCGCAGTGCAAATTCGCCACTGTCCTCTCGCACCCACCAAGCGGCGGCGGCGTCGTCTAGAAATAGGGAGCGAGAAAGATAACATTTCCCTGCTCCTGCACCATGGTTTTGCGAAGTCGGCTTCTTCCTTGGATTATGTTGTGCTCCTTCTGGCTGCTCCGCTTTGCACACACGGGGGAGGCACAGGCTGCGAAAGAAGGTAAAGGCGTGCGGAAAACTAAACTTTGGGCTTATTTATTGCTTTTCGCAACGAAAGGCTCAGTGGAGGGAGCCGCGAGCTGCGTTGCGTTTATTTATTTATTTATTTTTTGGTATGTGCATTTTCTTGAGATTAGGAGAGAAACGAGTGAGGAATTCTGTATGTGAGCGCGTGTATAAGTAACAGACCGGCACAAGCGCTTTCGGTGCGGGGAATGAGCTCCGAGAGGCAATTGCACGTGATGGGAAGGGGAGACAGCCCTCGGCCCGGGGCTCCGCACAGAGCTCTCCCGCAGCCTCAGCCCTCCGGGACGGGACGTTGCGGGACGGCTCCCCACCGGGGCACTGCGGCGCTCCAGGGCCGCGCGCGGAGCATGAGAAGCGGCAGCGGAGTGCGGTGAGCTCCTCTGGGGAGTCCTGGCGTACAGTGTCCGTAGCGCGTGTGCTTATCGCCAGCATCGCTGGGCAGAGGGGGGAAGGTTTGGGGCTGGATGCCTGACACTATTTATGTATCGCAATGGGGCTTCCCTATTGCCGTCAATCCAACGCTGTCGTAACGGTGAATGGTGAACCCCGGACGTCTGTTTTTGTGCCCCATCCCTTCCCGCGCGCAGTTTGCAGTAGGAGAGCGATGGAGGTATGTGAAATCCATTCCAGAAGTCCGTCTACGAGATCTTTTTTCCCATGTAGGGAAAATCCAGGATCGTTTAAAAAAGCGCCCTAGTAGCGTTTGACAGGGACGAAGGTCCGTCTCCGTCTTCACATGGGGGGTGGAAGGAGGAGCTGGTGGGGAGGGAGAACTCGAGGGTTTTTTTGTGTGTGTGTGTGTGTCCCTATATAGGGACGCATTTGAGGTTTTTTCCTCTCCCAACCGGATATGTCAGTATTTTCAATTTTCATCAAACAACTGGCACGCAGTAAAGTCCCATTCTGAAGCATTAAAAAAAAAAATAAAAATAATAATAAAAAAAAAAATAATAAAAAAAAATAGAGATAGCGAGGTTAGAGAGGGAACAGGGAGAAAGCCTTCAGCGAAATTTCCGAAGCTGACGCGGAGGGGCAGGGATGCACCAAGACCCCCACGCGGGGGGCGGTCACGCGTGGCCGTGTGAGCAGGGAGGGTGCGGGCCCCGGGGCTGCGGCGGCGCCTCTGGGCGTCAGTCCGCTCCGTGTTCGTGTGCGGATGGGGATATGTATGCATACACATACGTGTGTGCGTGTGCAGTGGGTGTGCGCTTGGGGAAAATCAACGCAGCTAAAGGAAGGTCAGGAGGGGGCGAGCGGCGGACAGGGATTAATAGCGGCTACCTGCTGCGGGCTCGGGAAACTCCCGCGGAAGAAAGAGCGGGGAGAGAGCAGCGGGGAAGGAACTTCGCAGCCTCGCCCCCCACCTTGCCCGAGGGCTGTTCTCGGCTCAGCCCTTCGTGGCTCCCACCGCTCCCCTCCGGGCGCTGAAGAGCGCTACAGAGGACGAGGCAGAAAAGTTTTCCGAGTTCCCTTTCTGTAGCTAAACAAAAGACGTGGGGAGATGCTGGAGAGGAGCGGGGCGGGGGCTGTCCAGCCCTCCGGGAGAGGGACTGACGGCTTTCATTGCAGAGCCCTCCGCCAGCGCGGGTGTCCCCTCAGAGCTTCCCACCTCCTGCTGCGAGCCCTCGGGGCTTGACACGGGGCTCCGCCACCCCTGCCGCTGCCCCATAATCCGGCGGCAGGGCGGAGACCGCGGTACCGTTTCTCCAGACGGAGGCGCGGCCGCTTGCACGCAGCTCAAGGAGCGTGTGCGCGGCCCTGGCTCCCAGCTGAGCCCGTTCCCCGAACTCGCACCCGCCGGTTTTCCGCCTCCTTTCGACTTCTGAAGCGTGCGCGTCCGCTGTGCGCATCCCGCGCAGCCGCCGCAGGGGTGCGCGGATTCGCCTCGCCGCTCACCGAGCGCGGAGCCGGCTCTGCCCCTAGGCTGCGGGACGCGCAGCAGCTGCCCGCCGGGCAGGCTCTGCCCGGTAACTTTCGGTTCGACGAGGAAACGCAACGCTTTTACTTGCCTGGGGTATTTGCAGAGCAAGGCGTTTCACTTACTATAGTTCGTTTTTTTCTTCTTCTTCTTTTGTTTGTTTGTTTTCCTTGTTGTCTTTCTTTCTGGGATGTGCCCGTTGCTATGTGCCGGTGAATTGCTGCCAAATAAAAAGTACAATGAATTGCAGCCGTGGGATATTGTGCTGGTGCTGAAAAGGTTAAGTCTTTCATGGTGCCTTTTTTTCTTTTTCCTTCCAGAATCATTAGAAACGTTGTTGTTTAACAAACCACCACATACACCACCTGCTTTTCTATAGAAAGTGTTGCAAAGTAAAGCCACTTGGATCCGAGCTTAATGAAAAAAGCAGATCATCTTTCTAGGAGAGACTATCAGACTTCCTTAATGAGTTGTTCTAGTTTATTACTGAAATACAGGCCTGGAAGTTAGGGTTCTGTGCTCAGCTACTATGGCGATATTACTCTATGAACTTGTGAATGTGTATTATTAATTTTTTTTTAAGTCATCCTTCATTCATTGAAATTTTGTGTGAAATTCTGCAAAAGCTGAACCCAGAATTCAACCAATTGAAGAGACCTGACAAAAGTTGCATCATTTTGAAGCTGTAAATTATTAATTGAAATAAAAGTATTTAAATGCTGTAAGTAAAATTATAAGTAGCTTGAATGCTAAATATATACTGAACGTATGTAAATTAGGTATGTGACTTTTTCATTTACCAAATAAAAGAATGAAGTTAAATGTGCAGTCTTGAAGAGGGAATCTTCAAAGTGTACCAAGCCCTGATATGTGGCAAATCACTCTACAGCTTCAACTGTGTGAAGGAAGATATTATAACAAATTATTTCATGTATATGTGTTTGATATAATGGATTAATATATGTGCCATTTGAATCTGACAGTAATATGCTTGGGAAGATGCATGTAACTATAATTTAAATATAAAGCATATCTAGAAATATATGTTTGGAGGAAATAGAACATCAGTAATATATCTTCCAGAATGTGCTGTGAAATAGTTAAGAGTTGGTTTATTAGGCTGTGATTAACCACTTTATGAAGCAGGGTTACATTTAGCTGCAAATAATTGCACTGCTGCCAGAACTGATGTCTTTTTGCAGAAGTGTCACTGGCTTATAACGACATGAAGATTTCAGTAAGCCATCACCATAAAGTAAATTGGTTGGATTTGTGTATGCGATGTGTGAGGTAATTGCAGAGTCTCTTATTTTCTGTATTCCTGGTTGTCATTTGTTTATAGAATTGCTACCCTCTCACCTAAAGGTTGTATTTTTTTTCCTTTCTTACTCCAAAAGACGTTACTTTGCTGTGTAACTCCTGGTAAGGTACATACTAGCCCTGTCTGAATCAGTTTGAGTAAGTGTTGAAATGCTATTGTTTGTTTGTTTTAATCTCTCTGTAATAGCCAACTTATGGGGAATGTCCTCATCACAAAGGAGATAAAGGGAGCATGCATAATAATGACTGACTATTAGTATTTTAGGGCACGAGAAAAAACATTACACTTAGATGTAAGCAATGAGGTTGCTGAGAACAATGTGTATCTGCTTGTATGGGGATTGTACATAACAATTTAATCATCTGTTTACAAGAAGATGCATAGTTGTACTCGCAGTTGTTTTTCAATAGCATGAATTAAAAAGATGTGTTCTGTTTTATCGTTTTTTGAATTCAGAATTTTTACTTTGATTTTGTATTCCCACGTATTATATTTAACAAAGAGTGAAAATGCCTTTCTTTTCCTTTTCTTTTTCAGTTATTTTACTGGACTCCAAAGCACAACAGACAGAGTTGGAATGGATTTCCTCTCCTCCCAATGGGGTAAGTAGTCCCTACAAAAATTAAATTCATAAAGACAAGCAGTTATTTCACCAAAGCAATTGCAATACTGGCTTTAAACTAACTTCCCCTCATATTTCTCTTAGTAATTGTACCAAGTGTTTATGGATCTTTCAGCTTTAGAATGGAAATAAGTGTACCTTGGGTTACGATGTCCAAACATAAGCTAATTAAAAAATAGAGACTCTTTAGAAGTTCACATAAATGTTTTCACTAGTTTCATCTTTTGTCACATAGACCTCTGTGGTATACCAGAAAGCTCTTTATGTTTGTAACACAGTATTTTAAATCACTTTTTCCTTCATCCTGTAGAAAGAGCAGACCTTCTTTTGTGTGGAAACTTTCTAAAAATATGTTTTTCATTTTCTGTATAATGGCTGATCATAAATTTGTTTATGATGTTTTCTTTGTAATTGAATAGCACAGACTGAAGTGCTCTGAAAAAAAACATTTATACTGCAGATGTGTTTGAAATGACATTCCAAATTTGAAACATCTCCAAATCTCAAGGAGCTTCATATCTGGAACGAGGAACCAATTATGTGGTTAAGGCCACCTCCAGCTTGCTTACAAATGAATCTCATGGTATTCCATGAGATGTACCATTGTGTAGTAGTACATCATTATAAAAAATGAGACGTTTAGAAACATCTGTATTATTGTTTTATTTATTGTGTGCATAAACTTAAAAAATGCTGCTTTCGGCCTGAATTAGAAGTGATATAAAACCCCTTATTCCTCAAGTCTTGAGGAAGAAAGAACATTTTCAGAATGGTACAGTGTGTATGTTGTCCTACCGTAGCGCAGCCTGATAAATGATAAATCATATGGCTAGTTCTTGTTTGTGGAAGCAGTCTTTTGCAGCATCCATTGTGACTCCTTGCATGAGCAAGGAGTCTTGCTTGGGGGATCAGGCCCTTAATCTTCAGAGCCTTAAGAAATCTGGAGCCAGAAGAGCGTGAAGTGTGAGTAGGGATATAAAAGTGTAACAAATCCTTTAAATAAGAAGAATGAAAATCTGAAAGTGTCTTTCTTTAAAAGCAAGATCGTAAAATCAATACAAGCATAAACTGGAAACGAATATAAGAACTTCAGAAGAAATGTAATGTGACCTCAACATTTATGATGGCTAATAACCTCAGCATTAGCATTTTGCATTGATTGAAGCTGCTACCAGAGGTGTTTGAAAGATTAGGTTGGTGGCAATTACATTAGGCTAACCTATAGATAATGAAAGACATGTCAACACATGTTACACATGTCGGCATATTTAAAGATGAAAGAAAGTAGAGTCAAATTCAACAAATGGCAAGAGGCTACTTTCGAAGGTAGAAGACAGTTTCAGTAAAAAATCAAAAATGAGGCTAAAAAACTAAAAATAAGGCTAATGACTGGATTTGTTTGCATGAAAATGGTCAGAAGTAGTTGTCTGTGAATTCAACATAGAAGTTGTAAGTATGTAATTTTGATATAAAATATTTACTTTTAGTTACTATGCTGTCTGCTGTGCAATAAAGATTTCATGAGAATGAACGCAGAAAATACACTTCTTGAGAGTAACTACTGCTTCAACAAAGTACAGATTATATCACCCAGACACTCATTAAATGCCTTATTCAACTGCAAATGTTACATCTAATAGTGATCTCAAATATTGCTAAGATAACTAAGGAAGTTTAAATACCATGTATTGGAACAGATAGAACAGGATATGATCAAATAGAATGGCATGTGTATCACTGTATATGGAAGCAGGATAAAGCAGAATTGAATTTTCTTTCTGTAAAAGGCAACATGGAATTAGTCACTTTAAAAATACTAACGAGGTGTGAACTTAGATGATGTAGATGAAAACCTATCCTGAAATACTGTTGATTTCTTTTTTCTTCCATAGAGAAGCAGGTATGCCTCCAGTGGACTATTTGAAGTAATGGTTCTGTGATTACTAAATTAAGCCATAAGTCCTGTTTTCCTGGTGTTTTTTTTTTTTTTTTTTTTAAGAAACACATATTCCATGGTTTTAGGAAAATTTGGAAGGCTAAACTGCAGCATTCAGTGCTAGAGATAACATAACGTAGAGCTTTTAACTTGAATGTAGTGTTTTGTACTGTTTTTCCTTGACTGCAGTGTTAGAGTATCCCTAATACTTACAAACTTCATGCAGTGGTGGGTTCTTGATTCCTCAAGAACCTTAATAACATAGTTTTTGGAAAAATTATTTGATTTTTGTTAAATATACTTTTCTTGTCTTTCTTTTGCTTTACTTTGGTTTGGTGTTTTTTTGTTTATTTTTATGTGGCAAGACCCCATCAAAGCTCAGAATCTGGTGTCAAATTCTGTTCCATGTTGAGCTCGTGCTGCTCACACTTGACAAATTCAATGCTTTCTCTAACTGGAATGACCAGAATCTGGCTCAGTTCCTTGGGGGAAAACATCACCTAATGTGCAATTGAGATTATAAAAATCAGTAAACTTTTAGGCTTTGTATCTTTTTTCGTCACATTTGGATTGATACGGAGTTTGTTTGTTTGTTTTTCTTTTGTTTGTATTATTTATTTATTCTGAAGTGTGACAGTGCCAGTTGCCCCGATCCCCATTTTTTTCCTTCCCTTGTTAGTTCTTAGAGAGAGAAAAGTGTCACTCATTCAAATCTAATAAATCTATAGTAATGGTGGACTTTTTTTCTGTTCTGAAATGAATACAGTTCCATATGCAATCAGTGCAATTAACTTCATGACTTTTTAATATTTCAATATTTAATACTGCATATATGAATTTATGATACCGTATGTATCATGTCTTTAGTAATTGCAGGTCTTTGAAATGCACTTTGATATTTACAACTTCTGTGCATTTCAGCATCTACAGCCATGATACATTCTGTGGTGGTAACTTCCAGCATCAAGTCAACCACATCTGCTTTTTCTTGCAGCTTTAGAGCAATGTTAAAATGATCTCATTTGCTGTCAAATAAGCTTGCAAAATACTGTATACTGCATGGTTTCTAGTTTGGGAAGTCAGTCTGGATAACCAACCTTTCACACTTGGTTACCAGTGTGAGGAATGTTGAGGGGTGGTCCGTCCTGCGAAGGTGCCAAGCATTCTAGTCCCACAGAACACTTAAGCACATGCTTACCATTAAGCTCATAAGTACTGTCATTGATCTTAAGCGTGAGCTTAAGTGCATTATTGACACAGGGCCAGAGGGCTAAGTGCCATAAGAAGTCATGGTTGCCCGTATCATTGGGTGAGGATAGTTAAAAAAAAAAAACAAACCCTAATTTATTACAGCTGCAGTTTCTGCAGTATGTTAAGTGTTATAAGAAAAGTGTTATGAAAAGAGGTGAGAGATGGATATTGTTTTGGATGTACCTGTGCAAATTTGCCTGCTTGATTTCAGTGGTTTTACCATTGCTGGAGGTGCACATTCCAAAGTAACCGAACTCTGTTAAAGACTGCAGATCTGTTACACACTTACTGGTTTGTTTCACAGTTCTTATCCTAAGAGGGAAAAACAACAAAACCCAAGCTTTGAACCAGTAAACTTTCAATCATGTGGGTTGTTCTTAATTGAGTATTTAATCTCATGGTTCATTTGAACACCCAGTCAACCGAAGTTCATTTCTTTTAACATGGATGCAGCCACTGAAAAAAGTGAGGTGAGGAGCATCTGCTTACATGTGCTGGTTTCTGAGTAGAGCAGAAGATGGAGTGAACAAAAAGGGGGCTGCCAAGGTGTTTTCTCACCTCCAGATTTTTAATTCTGTCAATTTTCTTGTTTTCTCCTCATGCCACCTTCATTGTATAGGATTGAAAATTGTATACCGGATAAGTTTCAGGAGCCTTCTACTTGCTGTACACCAGAAAGCTCCAGTCGGTCTTTTATACAGAAAGACTGTAACCCTAAGCAATCTGAGTTCCTAAGACTTCTCTGATTGTGCATTTCCCTGGAAATGGAGCTACTTTTTAGTCTTTGCTTATGACCTTAATGAAATGTGGGAGAATCCAGTGTGGAGTTAGAGTTTGATATGTTGAGCAGCTTCACAGAATCACGGAGCTGTAGGAGTTGTTAAGGAACTCTGGAAATTGTCTAGTCCACAGCTCCATTAAAGCAGATTCGCTATAGTAGGCTCTCCCTTGGAATTGGATCTTAGATGTGAATATGATTTTTGAAGGTTATTTATATGTAGGAATAAATGGAGGGAGATGTATTAATGTCTATTTTCTTCACTTGAGTGCTTAAGGATATTGTAATAATAGCCTATTTTTTATGATGTCTTACTGTTAAAAAGGAATAGCACTTAATTGTGACACTTTTTCAAATACACAATAGTTACATTTGGTGGCATCCTTGTTTTATATTACTAACTGTTTTTTATTGTTTTAGTGGGAAGAAATTAGTGGACTGGATGAAAACTACACTCCTATACGAACATACCAGGTATGCCAGGTCATGGAATCGAACCAAAACAACTGGCTTCGGACTAACTGGATTGCAAAAAGCAATGCACAAAGGATTTTTGTAGAACTGAAATTCACTCTGAGGGATTGTAACAGTCTTCCTGGAGTTCTGGGGACTTGTAAAGAAACTTTTAACTTGTATTATTATGAAACAGACTACGATACTGGCAGGAATATCAGAGAAAATCAATATGTAAAAATAGACACTATTGCAGCAGATGAAAGTTTTACCCAGGGTGATCTGGGGGAGAGAAAAATGAAACTTAACACAGAGGTGAGAGAAATTGGACCTTTGTCCAAAAAAGGATTCTATCTTGCATTTCAGGATGTAGGGGCCTGCATTGCTTTGGTCTCTGTGAAAGTCTACTACAAGAAGTGCTGGTCCATCATTGAGAACTTAGCTATTTTTCCTGACACAGTGACTGGCTCAGAGTTTTCCTCTTTAGTTGAAGTGCGAGGAACTTGTGTCAGCAGTGCAGAGGAGGAAGCTGAGAACTCTCCGAAGATGCACTGTAGCGCAGAGGGAGAATGGCTAGTGCCTATTGGAAAGTGTATCTGCAAAGCAGGATATCAGCAGAAAGGAGACACCTGTGAACGTAAGTAGACATATAGCTTTTATTGTGTGCAGTACGGGTTATATTTTGCACTATTTTGTTATTTCTCTGCAACAGAAATACATTGTCAGTCTGCTGTTAAAGTTTCAGATCCTCAGTCTGTACTCTTCCTACTGGCCAGTCTAAAGCAGTCACTTCTGGGTATGGAAATTGGTGTTTGTGTTCTGCATTTTACTTCATTTTTGTTTATAGTTATGCCTCATACAAGTTTTTAAATACAGATTCAGGACTGAAATTTTCAACAGTTTAAGGTAACATTCCTTGTACTTATTGGTACAAAACTTCGTATTAATAATCTGAGCAATTAAACACCTTGTTCTTTCATATGGTCTATGACAATTACAAGGAAATTGAAACTGAGAAAATAAATGTAGAATGAAGTGTGGTTAATAATAGGAAGAATATACACACAATAAAATCTGCTTTGGAGAGTTGCATTGTAAGTGCTTACAAATTTAGACACAAAAGTATTGTTTTAGATCTTTCAAACAGAATATCATGTTTCCAGATTGAAGTATGTTTCCCTTTCTGCAGTTTCATTTTGCATAAAACTAACTTGGAACTTTTCACTTTCTAAGGGATCATGGTGAATAGTTTGAAATACTAGTAAATTGGAGACTATTGAGTTGTACTTTCTAATTAAGACTGATTTAGTTACACAGATTCTTAGAAAAATACTTACCCTTAGTGCTGCTGCCAATGGGTCTACATGCATAAGAACTTTCTGCTTACTGTAGGAAAGAATATTTTGCTGTCTCTGCTTACAATAAAATCAAGACAGTTTGTTTAAAGACTGATATAATTTTTTTAATGTTTATGAAAATATATAATTCTTATTATAAGATCACACAAGCTATTTATGGTCACATTTTTATCATAAGAGGCATGTTAGTGAGAAATGTTGCATGCAAGTTTACCATACCTACATACACTCCCAAACCTATGAAAAAGAAAAACCTACGGAATTTCAAAACCAAACCTGGCTGCAGTCACTAAACCTGAGATGTCCATGTAAGGACTTCAAATCCTGTAGAGGATTAGGGTCACCCTAAAGGAAAGTAAATGTGCTTATTGTTAATAAGCTGTCATCAGGGAAAAAAACTATTGCGTTCCTGATGAGTTTTTTAGTAGGAAATTCTATACAAGGTGAAGTTGATCTGGGGCCTTTGTAGCTTCTCACAAATCTTTCATTGTTATGTTGAGAAAGGATGAGGGCTTATACACTGAAGAGGGTGATCTCATTAGGAATAATAGTGATGTAAAAAACTGCCCCCACAAAACCACTCAGCAGACTGTATTAAGGCTCTGTTAAAAATATTAACCAGTGTATCCCATTGAAAACTGTATTGAGTCTATCAGATGTTTCTTTGGAGTGACTGACTTTTTTTTTTTTCTTGATTACAGACCTAGTCATGGTTGATGTAATGAACATACTAATTTTATTTCTCTTTAAACATAGAAGAGAAAGTATCCAAATAAAGAGGCAATATATATATTAGGTAGTGGCTGAGATGGGTGAGAGGTGGTGCTGGGGTTAGAGAGAGGAAAGTAAGTGTTTGGTAACTGGAATTCAAGTAACTTATTTATTAAACAAGCTTCTTAATTTCTAACCACACTGATGTTGACAAAAGAATTAAATGATAACTTGTACTTGAGTACAGCAGTGTGCTCATTTGCAAGAACACTTCTCACTGTTGGCTTGCTTCCAAGGCAATTGCTAAGAGAATACGCTACACTGGAAGCAGTCCAGAGGATCATTTATAGTATTTTTTTCTTTTCTTTCAGTGGCCCTATTAAGAATTTGAAAACAAACTCTGGCTCCATATTGAGGCAAGTTAATGTATTTGAGAGAGAAAAGGTGGGAGGCAGCCGCTCACCAAATGTGTGCTGCTGGCTGCTTAGAGTCAGGCTAATCTGAGTGACTGTGTCTCACAATAGTAATTGCAGTCTGTAATGCTTGTTAGCCATGTCTGTGCTTGAGGATGTTATTAAATATGATCAACTATGTAGTGTCCGATAATACAGCTGGCACACTGATACAGCGTCTGTTTTTTGTGACAGATATTGAGGGAAACTTATCTGAGCATTGACACTAATGCAACTGGCTATCTGTTACTGTCAAGCTGTGTAACAGATCAAGCAGAGGCAAGTCAATGTGTGCTTCCTTAACCCAGAGCTTTTATAGCCTTGTCTGAGGGCTCACTTCTGCAAATACTTTGTACCTGGCATGCTGTGTGACTTCTTTGGGACTAGTTGTGGTAGAAAGCATTGTGCGCTGTCAGGACTGGCTGAAGTCTGTGATTGCTCTCTCACGCTTACTGTAGCTCACCTGAATTAATTTAACACAATAGGAAAGCCTTTTAAAGATACAGAATAATGCCTTATCTGTCTGCATTGTAGCAAAGATAGGAGTAGATGGCCACATTGTACTTCCAATAGCTCTTCAACCTGTAACTCAGTGGGGATTTTCATTTGTGTTATGCTGGCTTGATTGGCTGACTGTGATTGAAGAATGCGATCCTTTTGCATACAGCTTTTCTTCTGTATGTGAAATTTCTTGAATTCAGATACTAAAACAATTGCCTTTTGATTTATACTAATTCTGCACTGGATGTGCTGCCAGAACCCTTATTTTTGTTGTTGTTTTTGTTGCACTGAATGCAAGTAACTGGTAGAGTCTGGAAGAATAAGAAAGAAAGCGGTCATGAGTCGTGGAATGCACCAGCTAGACACCAAACTTTCGTTTGTTCATTCTTCAGTGTTCAATCTTCTAAGCTGAATTAATGTCTTTTTCAGATGTACATTGATTACTTCTTGCTACTGATGCGCTTAGAATTCCATACCATCTCAGTGATCTATTGTAATAACACATACAAAAAGGAGAGCTTAACTTGATGCAGCTCACAGTGTTCATGTAAGGCAAAATCTTAAAGCTTGTTGTAGAAAGCCTGAGAAAACTAGATAACAGTATGAACTTTGCATTGCAGTTGGTTTTGTTGTTTTTGCTTACATACGAGGGTACTGTCTCCTCAGAGTTGATCATGTCTGCTAGTATTTGGAACTATACTGAATTATAAAGATTTTATATTATGAAGAACTGTACTGAGAAGTACCTAGCAAACATACCTGAAAGGTACTTAGCAAGTCTTCTAATGTCGCCCACTGTGCCTGCTCCATCAAGAAACAAAACAAAGAAAAAAAACAAAATAAAACAAACAAACAAAACAACAACAACAACAACCCCCCCCCCCCCCCCCCCCACCACCACCTAAATGCAATGCAGTTTTCTCTATCTGTAGTAGACTCCCAATGGATGTAACTTTGGTTTCTTTCTCACAGTGTTGTCCAGTCAATGTGTTGCACATATAAGCACCGCACTGATATCAGTGATTGGTATGTGAATGAGAAAATGATTCCTTGAGAACTCCTAGTATAATGCAATTTTCATCTGTTTCATGTTAGTTGGGTGTGGGATGTAGGAGAATTATATTTATTCAATTGGAGCAGTAGTGTGATATTTCAGAAGGTAAGAAGCATCTCTTAATATGACTGAAGTGAGAAATTACATAGATGATTTAGGACCAAGTCCAAAAACACAGAAGTTGAGACAAAGTCAAAGTGTAAGTTTTACTATTAAGCATCTTTTAATACTAAAACAACATTAACAGTTGTTTTAGTGCCCCCTCAAATAGGGAGGGGATTATAGCTACTTGCACATTCTGTCTTCATGACGTAAAAATGAAGCTACAGACCTTTCTTTCCGAACTTTGCCATGTACTGTACATTGTGCCAGACTAAAAGCTCTATTTATTCCTTCTTTTTTTTTTCTTTTCGGGACAGACTTTTATCACGTTACTTAATAACATAAGGCAAATTCTGTTTTGGCATCTGTCATGGTAAAGTTATTAATTTATGGTAAAGTGGTGTTTTTTGTTATTGTTGGGTTATGGATTTTTTTAATGTGTGTTTGTAATTGGTTTTCATTTTTCCCTTTTAATATTCAGGAATCAATGTTCCACGTGTTTGCTAGTAGAGGGCAATGAATTTATGGGGGGATGTGAATGAGTTGTTAAAATGGGGGATGCCATGCTTCCAAAAAAGCCTGGGTTGCATGGTTAGGCCCAGGTGGCGTGTCCCAAAACCTGTGGGTGATTTGCTAATTAAGCAGTCTTTTTAGACTTTCTGTTGCTACTATTTCTGTTTCACTTGGTGGAGAAGTGACAAGATGGTAAAATGCATGCTGCTGAAGATGTTTTCTATCAAGACTCTACATGTTTCTTTCTTGAAGAAGTGTTACCTTGTTTCCATTTGCCTCGAAAATTACTCTTGGGAAGATATAAACGCTGGCAGCAAATTGAACTAGAGAAAAGCATGAGGACATTTCTGACAGTTTTGCCATTTTTTCTAGAGCTAGTGAAGGTTCAGTGGGAGAATGTCTACCTCCTTTCTTTCTCCCTCCTAAGATATCAAGTAGTTTTTCTGTTCTTTTGAAACAAATGTCACTGTGATCAGATATCAGATCCCTGACACTACCACATAGAAACTATTGAATTTTTTTAAAAAACTCATCATGTTAAATATCTTTCCAGCAAATTCTAGCAAGAGTTAGAAAAATAGAACATAAGGTGAAGGTAAGACCTTCAAGCTAGCTGATCAAGAGTACAGAGTAGTTTTTACAGTTAAATATAGAGCTGTGATCTTTACTTCAGTCCTTGTTTGGAGTTCCTAGAGAGTTAAATGTCTTGAATTCTTTCACACTGGATCAACAAGCAGCCTTTCTAGAGAGTGATATGAACGTATGTGAGGTGTAAGGTGGTGTTAAGTTGAAGTGAACAAGAACCATACTGTAGAGACAGTTGAAACTGGTTAGCTCACATCCATAGTGTCATCAGTGATTACATTAAATAAATCCAAATGAATAAACCACAGAGATGCTGACTGATTAGGTTTCCATGAACTAGCTGGTTTGCTCCAGGAGAACT